AGGAGAGTAGTACTTTTTACTAAGAAATTAAGAGAGAGAGAGAGAGAGAGAGAGAGCAACAACGAAGAAGAAAGTACAGAATAACAGCAACTAGTCCTCGCAGAAAATTGATACAACAAGAACTAAGAATAAAAAATTAGAGTACAATCTATAGGAATACAGCGTCTTGCAAGGGAATCAGAATAATAAGAGATGATGAAACTACAAGCAGATGTGGATTTATGTTGAAGCACAGGGTGTGTGCTACCCCCAACCCCAAAAAACAATCCCAACTTCGAATTTTGCCAAAAAAAACATCTTGTATCTAAGTTTTAAATCTTAACACATACTCCCTAAGCATATATATATATATATATATATAGTTAACTCAATTGGTAAATCAGTTTTTTTAGTCTTGCTAGATCAAGATGCAGCTTTAATTTGTGTAGTAAAGATGCATATGTTAAGATGGATGTGTCGCAACACGTTGAGGGATAGAATTAAAAATATAAATATTCAGAGGAAAGTTAGAGTAGCAGATAGATATTGAGGATTAGATACGGAAGAATTGGTTATTACTGGTTTGAGAGACTTCCTGGAAAAAGCACCAGTAAGGAAGTGGAGGGTTGGGGTAATGGAGACCTAAGCATAGTCAAGACCAGAGATAACTTAGATGGAACAAATTAAAAAGGACGTGAAGAGAGAGGGCTTAGTAAGTGATGTAGCATTAGATAGAAGTGAATGGAGGAGAAGGATCTTTGTGAGATAACCACATGACAAAGACTCTCGGCTCATGCAATGACACACATCACTATCGGCATTTTACATTTAATTTTAATAATAAAAAGACACTAACCCACTGTATTTTTCTTACATTCCCTAAAATTATTTTAAAATAAAAAAATTCCTACTACATCCTTTTAAATTTAACTAATATCAAATATACCTGGTAAATTGTGTGCCAAAGAGGAATGGGGATTTTATGCAAAGATTATTATGTTATTCTATACTTCCTTTGTTTCAAGTAAGTGAACACAATTCTTTTATCACGTACATAAATTCAAACACGAATATTTCAAATTATCATATTAATTTATTTTTTTTAAATGATCTTATGAAAGTACACATTGAAAGGAATCTAATAGGATCCCACATGAATATGATCACAAAAAACTAGTCAAAGTAGAATTTGTAAATAGTGTCAAAAGGTCAAAACATGTCAACCAATTTGAAAAAACAATTTTTAAGCATTTCATTCACAAAAGCTACGAGAAACAAAAAAAAAGAAAAAGGTTTTCACCATTTTTATGTTTTGAGAATTTGTAATTCAGTGATTCCCCGGCCTATTTCACATTTAACTTTTCGTTTCTTAGCATCATACGTTGGTGCTACCCACTCCAATATCCTAGATCAACCACTTATTGCAAGCAAAGTCAAAAATGGTTTACAAAGCTTATACACATGATATTTTAAACAAGAATTCAAGGTCCACACCAACTCTCTAAAAAAAATTATTCAACAGCTACTCGAATGTGTTACTCACAAACAGAAAAAATGTGGCCGTATACAACCCAACACGAATCCTGCTAATACGGGCATGAAATATGGTCCGGACACACCATGATGACATTACGTATGGCAAAATTGCAGAAGATTTGAAGCAATCCGACAAGTACTTCATCAAAGTCAACTCCTTTAATCTCATTAAGAATGATGATGACAACTTATATTTTTATTGTATTTATTAAAGTGTTTTAATTGAAGGGGAAATTCTATAGGACTACCATAAGACCAATGTTGCTTTATGATACTAAATGTTGGGCTTCTAAGCAAAACCACATTAAAAAAAATGGTATTAGTTTATAAGGATATATATTTGTTGTATCCCCGTACTTGTGACCAAAGCTAAGACGGTGTCTACATGTCCAAAATATTCAAAAATGACGTACTGGACACTCAAATGATCAAATCCGTACCCATAATAGATATTCATACCTGTGTCCATGTACATAGCTACTTAGACATTTACTAAAGCAATGCAGTTAACTTTTTAACTATATTAGAGCTCTAAATGACATTGTTAGAGGTAAGATCTTTAAAAATATGCAATGTAAATGTTTGGTGATAAACAAAATTATCAGTAGACTCCTCCTACAAATTTTTAGTTACTCCCAGCTAAATCTAGAGGCAAGAGCTAGATATATCCATGAGTATTTTTTTCACATTTTTATCAATTGTGCTCATTTAAATTTCTCCAAATGAGTAAAATTAATAAAATGATCAAAAAGACCCTACCTAGCTCTAGTTGTACCTTGGAACAAGATAAAGGTGCTAAACTTCTTCTATGAATAAGTCAAACAATCTCAACTTACCTCGTTAACTCACCAGATGTTATTCAATAATTTCTCTCCTCTCAAACACAAGTCAATAATAGCTTAGCTTGAAAAATGAAAATTGAATACCATCGGTTAAACCAAATCCCAATACATTGAAAGAAATCAATTATGTGAAACTTCTGAAGACAACCTAGCAATCTAGCATCACTAATCAATATAAGGAGCTCCCAAAGATATATAGCCTGTTAAGATAAATTTCCCTTACACAAGTTGAGCTTAAAAGTCAAATGGAGCAAATTCACTATAAGCATGACAGAAAAAAATTTATAACTATTTTAAATCCCCAAAAAATCTGAAATTAAATTACCTTGCATTGGCTTCAAAAAGAAAGACAAATATAATTTAACAAGTTTTTGCATAGTTTAGTGGGCATCCACAAATAACACAATGAATAAATCATCAACTAATTATAGTATTCCCTACACTTCAATCAATTTCACAATAATAACATAAAATCATGAAAATCAATCAAAAATATCAAGAAGTAAAAAGCAATTGAAGGAGAGAAAATTGACAAAGATGCAGAGAATGGATAGATACCTCAGCATGTGACAAAATGAAGGCGAGGTAGTTATTGAAATCCGGAAACTGTGAGTAATGTTGCAACTGCTGCCAAATCTGAGTTTTATCAGAATTTGGAACAGGTGACATTTGCTGCTCCAATAATCCACATATCTCCTTGATCCCTTGCTCTTGTGGTTGCCATAAAGCACCATTTGTTGCCAATGCCGCCATCACTTCACTGGTTAAAGAACAAAACGGCAATTCCAGGTCAAATATCGAAATTATTGAAATCCCCAATAGAATAATTCTACTCCCTAAAGACTATGTTACAACATTAGTCCGCCACAAATGTGCATACAAGGCCGTCCCTGAGCCGGGCCAATAAGGGTGGCTGCCCGAGGTGAAAAAGGCATGTTTTTATAGTTCCATCTTAACATTTAAGGATTATAAACAAAATCCTGCAACATATTAGCAACTAAGTTTGATTCAATTATCAAATTAGGGTCGAAAAAATGCATAAAAATTCAACTCGCTTAATAATGTGAATAGCAACAATCTATCAATGAAATCGCTCAATATAATCAATCATTACTTCAGTAATTATTACCATTAGTTCAATAATCATCATTATAAGAACCCTAAATTGACTATACTGACAATTAAATCAACGATAAACCCTAGATTGTGAAATTAATATTCGGTTATTAATAAAAAAAAACATATCTTACCTTAGAAGCTGCTTTAATGGAGGAGAAATAGCTCAGAAGCCGCTTTAATGGAGAACTCAGAGTACGCTTCAATGGAGGAGAGAGAAAGAGAGAGGAAGAAGGGTGCAGCCTCGCGCGATGCGGACTAAACGTGAAAAAATACCGAAGAAAAAAAAAAATGGAGGAATACTAATGACACGTGTATAATGTTAACTGCTACGGCCTACGGTCCTACGGAGTACAATACGTCTTAATAATATTGATACCAACTGTCCGGATGCTTTGACACCGGATCGTGCAGCGCGCTCTTGTCTTTTGGCGACAAGAATGCAAGTCTGGTGTGAAAATGGGGCTCATGAGCACAAAGCAGCACAAGGGGGCAAAAGTATCTCAAGCAAGCATGCGTCTATGGGTAACGAGTGTAGAATCAGCTTGTGACGATGGATAATTCAAAGTGGGCACAAATGAGTCCGACGACAAAGGGAGTTTCTTGAGAGGTTCTCTTGGTTTGAAGGGGATAGTTTAAAACAATGGCAAGCACAATATCAATAAAGGCTTAAAAACAACACACAAGTTTCAAAGCAATATGCAACCGGATAGGGAGCTTGTAATTCATTTTCATTTTTTTTTTTATTCTTACTTAATATGTGCTTTTTATACACGTAGGTTTTGAGATATGAAATGTTACATAACCGAGTAAGAATTATTAATATAAAGGCAACCATGTCATTCTAGCTTGTTTAGTTCAAAAAGTACTCGAGGCTCTATCTGAGAAAACTTTAGTTTGATTGTGAGCCTTTTCAGTTTAAGCACAGTTAAACTTAAGAACTTTCTACAATCAAAATATAACAAATACAAGTATATATGCATATCTTAATTATTGGATCATATAAAACTTTTCTCCACTAAAATTACACTTGTGTATCAAATTTAACAATTAATCATGCGTCTTTTTCATATAGTTGTTTTGTACAACTTTTTACAAAAGGCTCCATAAGTTGTTGCAATTTTGAAGTTTGTTTAAAAATCTAGTTCAACTCATTGTAAACAAAAAATGTGACTTTACTTTCGAATCCACATCAATTTGTACTAACACCAATAAAAGCAATTCATCTAAAAAAAACACCTTCGGGTGCGCACCTATTTCTATATGCACTAAAGCTACTAAACACTAACAAGCTATCTTAAGGATTTAAATCATCCAATTTGATTAGTCTTTCTTATGGAGTATAGAAAGGGGACGGGCTATATCCCTCTATGAATTAAAATATGCACAAGCTAACAAGCTCGCGGTTCTAATAGAAACAAACTATTTTTATATTCTGCTTCAACTACAACATATGGTGTCTTCCTCCAAGCTAAGCTATCATCTTTCATTACTATCATTAGCTTTTCATGAAGGGTCAAGCTCAAATTCACAATCATAAGCATGCACATAATCATCATCAACAGAACATTAAACTTGTACATTTAACTTTTAATTCCCGGTTTCCCCATGTTACACAAAACCCCTCCTGAAATTTCAAAATAGCAAATTTAGAGGTGTTTGTTGGGATCACATATTCACATGTACCTAAAGTGTACAGTCCTGAAATTTTAAGATGGTGTTTAATACACACAGTGCCCTTGAAGGTATAAAAGAGGTACAAAGTATATGGAAAAAAAAAAAGAGCTTAAATGCTAGGATTGATAGCAGTCCCATCATTGCAACCAAATACAAGGCGTAGTACTTTTAAGTCCATTACCAGTTCGTCATGCATCTTCCTCATCAACACAGTAACACATGCCAAGCAAGCAGATATCTATCACCGATATTTTGTGATTCATTCCCATCACTTTACTTATGCTGTCAAACAGGTACAGATGCACAATATCTCACACGAATTACAAGGACTTCTTGGTTCTACTTCCACAGCTTGCGCAGGGACATGTTCTTATCTGTATCCTTCTTCATAACCTTGGCCACTGCCATTTCAAAGTCTTCCTGTGTAACATGAATTCTTCTCTCCCTCAGAGCAAACATGCCAGCTTCGGTACAAACTGACTGTGAATTTAAGCAAAGAGACAATGTTATACATCTGTAGAAAACCATAACAGATCCGCACAAAAACCCACAAATGCCTACATGATTAAAAGAATAAGGCCAGTATCAGAGCAACATGCTCCGAGATATTGATGGTAAAGAAAGTCATCTACAGGATATATAACCCAAATAGGAAAGGATGCAAATGAATAACTACTTGCAAATAAAGCAAGAGCTACATGACAATTCACTTGTAAAAGCAAGGGTTCCCAATAGGATTTACATATACTACAGCAACTTTCAAAACATAAAGGGAAGTAAAAAAAACCTTAAGCTCTGCACCAGATGCACCATTCATCTTATCTCCAATCTTCTTAAGATCAATCCCTCGCATCAAGTTCATCCTTCTTGAATGAATTTTTAAGATGTCAAAACGCGACTGTGAAAGACAAACAAGCAAGAAGCATTAAGTACTTTATAAAGTAGGAAAGCCTGAATGATCTAGTGTGACTGCAATGGAGACAAGATTCTGACATAAGAACAGTATAGTTCAATTTGAGAACTATAGAAATTTCAAGTCAAGAGACTTTATATAGCATTTAGCATACCTCTTCATTGGGATTTGGGAACTCGATCTTCCTATCAATTCTTCCTGGCCTGAGAAGAGCTTGATCTAGAATATCAATTCGATTTGTAGCCATCAACACCTGCCAATTTCAAAAAGTTGTTGATCTTCAACAGTCTCATGTCTCAAGTCTTATCACAACATAAAATTGCATGAACAAGCAATACCTTGATCTTGTTGGATGCTTCAAATCCGTCAAGCTGGTTGAGAAGCTCCAACATTGTTCGCTGAACTTCACTATCACCGTTCCCAGAACCAGACTCCATTCTAGCAGACCCTATACTATCAATCTCATCCATAAAAATAATTGATGGAGCATGCTCTCTGCAAGCAAAGAAAACCAAAAAACCACCAGTTTGCGATTAAATCAATTATCTAATGCCATTTTTTCAAGTATATGTCTGCATTAACAGTATGATTCAAGGGTGTTTCTTTAGTTAGCTCATCTTGTGTCAAATGAGTCAATCAAAACGCCAAAAATGAAATATAGGTGGAGATGAACCATGCTCAGCAGCTTCCTCAAATTACACGAATTAATTATATCAATGTTTCACGACAGATTCATACCTAGCCATCACAAAAAGTTCTCTGACCATCCGAGATCCTTCACCGATGTACTTCTGAACTAACTCAGAACCTGATACCCTGATAAAAGTACAATCTGTATGGTGAGCAACAGCTCTTGCCAATAGGGTTTTGCCAGTTCCAGGAGGACCATAAAGGAGGACACCCTGATAAAGGGACAATAATGTAAATTAGGTTATTGAAAGCATACACCTTACACTAAAACACTTGACAAGAGTATGACTTCCACAGAAAGTGCCAACGTTTAACAGATTAACACTCTAGAATACCTTTGGTTGAGCAATTCCAAGACTCTCAAATAACTCCGGATGTTTTATTGGTAGCTCAATAACCTAACCAAGTAACGAACAAATCAAGTGTGAACAATCAAGTAGACAAACAACATATCCCTAAATAATACAAGTAATAAGATTTACAGAAAATAAAACGAAAACAACACCTCCTTTATCTCTTTAATCTGCTGGTCAAGACCACCGATCATATCATATGTAGAATCAGGAACTTTCTCAACTTTCATCAGATTGACTAGAGGGTCTACTTTACTTGGCAACACCAGATGCAGGACATAGCTGTCATTTCGTAATGCAACTCGTGTAGATGGTGTGAGCTTATTGATGTCGATATTCTTATCTATATCAACAACATATTTACCCTCTGGATGCACCTGAACAGCACAAGGATATATAACAAAATAAGCAAGAAAGAACAAGTAACAAGATCAGCCAATGATAAAGAGAGCATTTTCCTCCCCTCCCATACCACCCCCCCCCCCAAAAAAACAAAAAAAAAAAAAAAAAAAAAAACCAATATCTTGAATTGCACCTAGATAGATAAGGCCAGAAATAATTGATATTAGAATGAAAATTTGTACATCAACAATAGACAATGATTAAACATAATTGAATGTCAATTGACATGTATTTAGATAATGCACTAAAATTGAAAATTGTCTAACCAGCCCATAACCTTTTCTTTTACTAAAAAAACAAAAACAAACAAACAGACAAACATGATTTGTGCATTTTAAGGTAATTTTATATTAAAATGGACGTGTTATAATTACTAATGCCCTAGAGAGATTCATAGTGTTTCTTGGGAGGAGAAAGAAAATTCAGACCTTTATTTGTTTAATCCTTCTCAATGTTTTATATCCATTTTATTTCTCATTTTCTGATAGATATAAAGAGTAATGTCTGAAAGACAAGATGAGAAAATCTCTATTTGTGACATCTTTAATCGCAACTATTGTTTTCACAGCAAATTTAACCATCTAGCTCAAAATCTATTTGTAATACAATCTCAATAATATCAAGACACAATAATTAAATTAGTATTGAAATTCCAAAATATTCTCAAGCCTTGAGAAAAAAAAAGGGTTTAGGGAGCTTTATTCAGTTGAAAAACGAGGGTAAAACATTCAATTGTAAGATGCAAATAAGTAAACCAAAAATGGAAAACAAGGTAGCCACAAAGAACATCATTGGTGTTAAACCAAATACGGAAAGATGAAGGTATCAAAATCCGGATATACATGAGGGGTGGAAAAAGCAATCAAACACACTTACTTTGACAAGAACCTTGGATTTTCCCATCACTTTGACAACTTCACCAACATATGAGCCTGGTTCTTGAAGCAATTGTAACTCCTCTTTCAGTGCTCTAACTGTCAAGTTTACATACTTCATCCATCAGACACATGCAACACTTCAATAGGTTGGGTAGGGGCGGGGGGGACTACGACTAACACCCAAAAATTTACAAGTATGGCTATCTTGTCAAGATGTGCTTCCTTCCCTAATTGTACATGACGCAGATTGCGGGAAATGGATTAACTAATTAACTACAAGGTAGGGGCACAACAATTGAAGACTGCCTTATCAAATATTTTCTTTCTTCATACACTGAGTTATCTTAGAGTTGAGATGCTAATTATACTCCATAGTTGCTACACAAGAACAAAAACCTTTTTGAAGGTTCATGTAACTAGAATATGAGATTATGAGGTCACGGGTAAGAAGGAAATCAACATCTTTTTGTAACAAAAACCGTTACCCCTGGTTGGGAGCAAAATTGGAGATATATTTCCCCCAAACCCTCCAAATCTGAGGGGCATGTCTAGCACAACAATTCCGCAATTCTTTAATAATGAGTTTCCTTACGTTCCGCAAATCTTTATGGTTAAGATGATGCATTGTCAATCTAATTTTCTTTCCTTACTGATACCACATATACTAGATTGTTTGTGCATTCTCTTTTTCTGAAACATTTGAGCCAACGAACACGAAATAATAGCAAAAACATGCAATCTTCAATCTAGAACTAACCAGTATACTAATGATAAAACAATCATCAACATATACAGCCAAGTCAACTGCAAAGGATTAAAAAACACATGATTAAAACATTAAGGTCATAAATTACTAAAAACACTTCTCCATAAAATTGAACAAATAACCGCCAATTTAATCAAATTCCGCTCAAGATCAGATAAAGTGAAATTAAACCTAAAATAAAACCAAGATTTGGGAATTTAGGGTTTCTGATTTCACAAATTAAGAGAAATAGAAAGAACCTCGAGAATTGAGGTCGTTACGCTGAGCTTCAAGACGTTGAAGATTATGATTTTTGTGACGAACACGAAGCTGAAGTTCATGGATGTGTTGAAGAAAATACTGTCGAAGTCCTTCTCCTTGCTTTACAGATTTCTGCTCTGCTTCTGTTGTCGCCATGTTTGTTTCTGAGTGTGCGAGTGATTTTTTTTTCCGATGATATTTACAAGTTTGTGTGTTCTAGAAAGTTCGGTGGGTTTGTTGTTGAGCTGGCGCTTGGAATGGATGACGGGTGGATGGTTAATGCATGAGTAATGACTACTCGCCTCATAGGTGTGTCATGTGTGAACTGCGGAATACAGAGTAATAGGCACAACACGATTTGTGATGGATTAATCATGACAAAATACTACAAAAATTCTTGCAACGCTTTAGTTTGGTTGATTAAAGTTTTGTCAAAGTATAGTAATTGATTATCTAGATTTAGTGTTCTTTGTTGGGTTGTTTGATTGAAAATCATTAAAAATTAAACAATTTTGATTTCTTTGATAATGTGAGTGAGTTTAATCTAATTAGAGATTACTCTATCTGAATTTATCTATATTTATTTTCTAAACTTATCTGGGTTATGAATTAGGGCATGTACAAGAGGCGATGAAGATTCAATCTCCTACAACGTACTCCACTCTAATTTTTCAATTTTCAATTATGTCAGTTTGCTATTTTATTATTTTTTTATAATCCAAGTTTTTTTTTTTCTATTCTTTATGCAATAATAGTTAGGGAATAAAAGTTAATATTACTAAATTTTTTAATACACTTTCATTATATTGCAAATGTTTTTCCCGAACTTTATTACTTCATATCAATTATCAAATTCCTATTCACTCCTAGTGGAAAAATCTTAACTTTGCCATTGATATGAATTTGACTTTCAAGTAGTCGTTGTGAGTGGGAATTGAATTTAATTCTTGTCCCTCCTCTAGCGTCATTATCATTCTTCCTATTCAGTGAACAATAGGAACCCGTGCAATTGCATGGTTTTAATAGTTCAAATATAAAATCTCACAAGATCAAAATCAAAGTTAGTTTGATGTATAATAGTGATATTTTTTTACATTATTTTATTTTTAATTTACAATAATCTGTATCATGGTATTGCGTATCATAATTTTAATTCAATGTTAAATTAAAATTTAGAGATATAAAATGGTTTATGGCCTTAACATATTTTACCTTTTAGATAAGAATGACTCATACAAGTCATGCCTATTCATACATTTCATATATTACCCAAGGATGGCAATGGGTCTAGGACCTGACCTAGACTCGACCCATATTCTAGGGTATGGTACCTAAATGGATCCGGGTCGAACCTAAATCAAAGTGCAATGAGTCCGGGTTTGAAAAGTTTAGACCTGAAACCCGACTGGATCCGACCTATAGACCTGTGGATTTTTTTATTTTTTTTATAAAAAATTACATAAACCATAAGTTATCTAATCTAAAGATCAGGTGAAAGAAAAACCTAAAGAACCTAACTCCAAACTATAGGCGCTACTTCTCCAATGGCTCCAAGAGTCCAAGTCAAACGGCTCCTAACTCCTACTCTCATCAAGTGTATTGTCGTATGCTTAGTAGTATGTTTTTTTACTGTATCTTTTCTTTATACGAAGTTTATTTTGATTTGCAACTATGCAGCAAGATTGTTTAATATATCTATATGTATAGTCACATATGTAATAGGATAGTTATATTATTAGATCCATTTTGGACCCGTTTTTAGCTAGACGCGAGGCCTGCTAAACCCAGTATATCTGGATCTATCCGGGACTGATTTATTTAGACCCAGTGGATCTGGGTCGTATCTGGATCCACCTCAAAAAATCCAGGTCTGGGTCTGGGTCTTGTTTAAATCCACTTGATTTTCATTATTACCGGTAATTCAAACATCCATTTTTTCCTGATTTTGCTGTATTGATTGTGACAATTCAGTTTGGATTTTGATGTTATAGTGGGGTAGCTAAGTTTGGTATTTTTTTGTAATCGGATATCAAGTTTGGAGAAGTATAATTAGAGGGTAAATGAGTAGACTTAGAGGGATAGAGGCTACTAAGTTAGATTTTTTTTTAAAAAAATAAAAAAATTCTATTACGCATGATGATATACTTTGTTGATAAAAAACGCAATTTTATGCTCACAGTTATAGAATAATATATAACATGGATATACGGAAATACTACACTATTTTAATCATATTTACTGTATAAAATATTTTAGAATCAAGAAATTATATTGACAAATTCATATATTATGCTTAAATATTCTCTTATTTCCTTTCCATATATCTTTTGTTTATTATTCTTTATGACAACCTACTTTTTTGTGCTTTTTGACAATTAAACATATATAGTGACTTAATACTCGTAATATTTTCACTATTCTAAATTAAAATATATTATTATAAATACATTTTGACTACTGCAGTTGAATATTTCACCTTACCTCAATTAGCTAGCCGTTAATCTATGTCATAAGCCATAATATAATTTTAATGATCATATAGTGGTTCTATTTATCATTTGAATCTTCATTTTAATTTATTTTTTTAAAAAAAAACAACTATAACAACGTAAGTTGGTTATGAAGAAGTATACAAGTGTATATCCTAGCATATATATTGTATTCATCATCTATTTAAGATCATTTATCTGTATTCTATATTAAGCTACACTATAATATGAGCGATTGTATAATGCTTCTATTTATCATTTAATATTTTTTTTTTTGGAATAGAATCTTAAAGTTAATGGATCTTTTGTTTATTATTCTATAGGACTCATTTATCTATTACGAAGTACTTCATTCGTTTCTTTTTAATTGACACGTTTCTTTAGTTACGTTTGTCAATGCACAAATTCAACCGTTAATATCTTTGATTACCGATTACCAAAAATTTTAAAAAGTTGTTTTTTTGAAAATATACATCGTGACGAATCTAACAAAACTTCACATGACTGCATTTTTTATTACGCATACATCACAAAACACGATCAAAGGAAAGTGTGTGAATAGTGCTAAACTCAAAACGTGTCAACTAAAAAAACGGAGGTAGTATATATTAAGACTCATATGAGTCACATCATATTCTACGTCACATAGATGAATCTTTTACATTAAAATATTGATTGGCATATGTAATATTTTTATGAATATTTTTACTATTAAATTTAAATCTAAAATTGCCAAAAAAAAAATATTAGACGAATCAAATAATGAATACTCTGCAATAATTTACAAAAATCAAATCGGAAAATTGGTATTTTACACAATAATACTTGTATACATTTAGCTATATGTGATAAAGTAAACATTATTTACTATTAATATAATCAATAAGATCACTATTCGAAATCTTTTTAATTTATATAAAGCTCAAATGCCTTTTTTTGTTAACTAAAATCTATGATATCACTTTATATGATATAGAATATTTTATTGTTTATATATAGTACCATATTTAGTTATATAAAAATATAAGATAGCCGGTAAATTATTTAATGTTAATTTAATGAGATCGTTTAGTGATTATTAGTAACTAAAAAGATTCTTTTAGATTGCATATTAATATACTACAATCAACTTTAGAATTACCATAACTAGTATTTTTGTAATTAGGTGGGAAAATTTTCATCGTAAGAGTGACACGTGTCAAAGGTTGAGTGTCTTCTGTTTTAGTATAGTTATAGATAGATAGATAGATAGATAGATAGATAGATAGTTGTATGAGTTTATTTCTCTAATTATATTTGAGTTTGTGTTCAATTAAGCAATGAAAATATTGGTTGTTGGGGTTTGATGATCTTAAATTGCCAAAACTCAACAATCCAAATGCAAAATTTGCCACCATACATATATATATATATATACTCTTATTATTGTTTTATTCCATTCCAAAATTACTCAAAAATGTCAGATTTCACCAAGAATAGGGTAAAATTTGTTGTTATACATGGGCAATGCATGAATTGGTTAGCATTATCACACATAAATCACCATTTTTGCTAGCACAAGTTGGCCAATGTATCATTTCATATATCATATAATTGAATGAGACGTAATAAGTTTTACTTCAAATTAACACAACTTATACAGTGTAGTTTTACTTTCTATTTATAAAAGATTACAACAACAGAGGCACATCTCAACATATACCTACAAATTAATTTAAAGTTGTTTTTTGCCATCCCACTTAGTAATGTTTAATACAAAAGATGGATGAAATAGTATGATCTTATTTTTTTACTCTTGAGCTAACTTTATCGAGTTATACAGATTCTGATTGAGAATAGACAAACCCTGAACGAACTTATCAAGTACACCGAACTCGAGCATGATCGCTGCAAGAAGATAAATAAAGTAATATTATCTTAAATTCCATGTAGAGCTAATTCCACTGAACTAAACAGATTCCGATCAAAAGCAAACAAACCTTAAAACGAGCCAATCAAGTGAACCAAACTCGACCGATTGGCCACACTACCTTTTTCCCCAAGCTTTGGGCATGTATGTAAGTTATGGTCAAGTGAGTGGGCCGGGTCGTTCATGGTGCACCATCTTTCCCATTTTCTCTGGTACAATAACGTACAATTAGACTAATCTACAAAGAGATACAAGTAACCATTTTTTACCCAAAACACCCTTTTCAGAAAAGCTACTGATCCTATAAAATGGAGATGAAGTTTCTCACATCAGATTTTTTTCTTTGCGCCTAACCCTTGGGGTTTGTAGAGAGAGAATTTTTTTTTTTTTTAATTATTTCTAAGTAATTTGTTACTCTGTTCGTCCTAAAACGTTTGAACTTTCTCACTATTTCATCCCCAATTTCTAGAGAAAATTAGTTTTGTAGGGTTAGGAGGGTGAGGAATTTCTGAAATTTGTGTTGAAAAAATCCCAGAAAAATTGTTTTGATTTTCCCACCCGCGTCAAATTTTTATCCCTTAAATATAACAATTTTGTACAAAAAAAATTACATACATTTCTATAATCTTATGCCTTTATTTTGATCGCATTTTAAAAAAATTGTTTTATATTTACTTGTGTAGAATTTCTAGGGTTCTTCAATACTTGAAATACAAATTACTGGAAAAAAACAGAGAGTTTTTTCAAATTTGTTTGATTTTCTATCTGGGATTTTGTTGAATTTTTCTGGGTCGAGTTTAGATTTTGATTTAGGATTATATAAGAAAAATGGACAAGAAAAGGGTTGCTGTTCCTCTTGTTTGCCATGGCCATTCTCGCCCAGTGGTGGATCTGTTTTATAGTCCAGTTACACCAGATGGGTTCTTCCTCATCAGTGCTAGCAAGGGTATGGTTTTGATTATTGATTAGGTCATTTTAATTTCAGTTTTTTCCTGCTTTGATGTAATTTGTTAATTGTCAATGGGTTTGATAATGGTTGAATTTTATGTTAAGTTTGATTGTCAATGAAAGTGGTAATGACTGAAATTTATGGTATGTTTGTTTTACTGTTTTGATTACCTGAATGTTAATTTTGATGATTAATTGTGATGAAATGGGTGGGCTTGAGGCTGAATTTTAAGTTTGTTTTTTATTACATATTTTTGATCATAGATTATACAAGCGTTGACCTTAATATCTATTTGAGGCTAATTCAATCATCTCTTACTATTTGGAATGTTATCTGCAATCCGTTTGTGTTCCTTGGGATGTTATGAACTTATGAATTGTGCTAATATTATTAGAGACTAATAACATATGATGTTTGGAATGGAATTTTTGTTGGACACAGTTATACTTTCTGTTGGTATTTGGTTTTGACTGTTGATATTACTCTTTGCAACGATGATTTCTTTAAATGCTTGATACATGCCTTTTAAAATATTTCCTGCCAAAACGATCATTGCTGTTTTGTATTGGATGTGTCGTTACGCTAATTAATTCTGACATTAAAGTTTTTATTTCTTATGTAGATTCTACTCCAATGCTTAGAAACGGGGAAACCGGAGATTGGATTGGAACTTTTGAGGGTCATAAAGGTGCTGTATGGAGTTGTTGTTTAGATACTAATGCTCTTTATGCAGCAACTGCATCTGCGGATTTCACGGCGTATGTTTACTTCTCTTTTTGTTCTTTAAGTTTCATATACTTATTAATTGGTCAAAATGTTGGTTGTTCTGTTGCAATGACTTGTAGTTGGAATACCTGCCTATTACATTGTTGAAACGTGGTTTTTGATATTTTTTCTTAAATGGAATGTTGCATTCCCTTTTGTTTTGTTGATAAATGTCTCTTGTGATCTATTGCAATTTGAGACTAGTCTGTGGTTCTTTCTCCATACTCACAGTTACTCTTAAGCAAAAAGGATATTTTAGTTGGGTTATCTTAGCCTCAGGCTTTTGTAGAAAAGGATATGTGTATGTATTGGTAATTATGGATTGGTATCATGGGTTGCTGAGCATGATCATCTGATAGTGTCATGTTTGCGAAATTTTGCACTTCAGGTTGCGACCTCTGTTTATTTGTATTGTTTAATCTTTTCAGCTGTTTAATCTTTTTATTAGTAACTTAGTAAGCATGTTCTTCTAACAATTGATGTACGGTGGCATGCGAGATTTATTAAGTTAATTTCCCTTCTGATCAACTTGTTTCTTGGAGATCAGATATCAGTTAGACAATGTGTATCTGGCTGTGATAGTCAGACCATCAGATAGTATTGAGTGTGTAGTTGAATCTTTAGGCAACAAGGCCATCTGAGAATATGCACCAGTGACTGTTGTCATGCTGGTTTTCCAGACTATAAAAGCATGAAAGTGAACATGAGAGAAACAGATTGCTGTGCAAAGGGACAATGCAAGAATAGAAAACACCTTACATAGAAACTGACAGTAGTTTAAACATGCACTATACTGCATATAAGAAAGCTAAGGACTGTTTGATTATGTTGAAAGCTATGTTTGTAGTAATACGATACAGTAATATAAGCCAAGAAACATCAGGCTAGGACAGCTTTATGGAAGGAGAGGTAAAATTTAACCAGGTTTGAAAGTTGCAAAGATCACTTAGATGCATTGCATCACTTAAAATCAGGGTGGGCAATTTCATACAATTATAATATAACCCATCCTCCAAGCTTCATTAAGGATATTGCCTAGCTCAGAAACTAGATTGGTCTGAGCTTGAGAATCTATCGAGTGCTGCATCCAGGAAGAACTTGAAGATCTGACAGAGTACTAAAAGCATTAGCCAGAGGAATAAAGGGTGAAATCCCAGCTTGGTCATGTGCTTTAAGTGTGGGTAGTAGGAGTATTAGGTAGGTCTCTGACCCATTTCAAGAAGAGTTGAAAAAGGAGCTCATTGTTACTACAACTCTCTGACTTTATTTTAGCAGCAACGTTAAGTGTTTTTAGAGGTCTTTTAGAATTGTTTCATGAGTAGGATATGAAGCTGAGGATGACTTGATTTATGTGGGATCAACAGAGGAGTTGTAGAAGATGGAGAGCTAGCTTATATATCTTTCGAGAACCAAGTACAGGACTTACCTTTGGAGGTTGCAATTTCTTCACTGTGGCCTACACGTGAAGAGCAAGCTTATATATCTTCTGATAATTTGTGTCTATATGAATGGAAGACGATTGGCGTCCGTGGAAACATGAGCACATTTTGTATGTTTTTGTGTAGGTCTTATTCTATCTGTAATGGATATGAACACAAATGCTATATATTGCCTGAGAATATATTATCCTTCCCTTTGAATCTTTCTATGATATTCATGAGTAGGAGAATGAAACTAACATGGTATAGGACCCCTTTATGCTGGGATCAGTGTTAAGGTGGTGGTGATGGTTGGAAGTTGGACCAGAATTGTGTCGAAATGTACATACTATTGCTAAGAAACAACTTAGGCTACATTTCATTTCTTAAACAGCATTTTAGAAATGAGTTAACTTTGACTATTTACAATGATGAAAGTGCCATTTTAGCCCCTGTTTATTGATACACATTGAACTTTTTGGTTGTGTAGTTTTTTGCTTGCATCATTCCTTGGGTCCTTAATGTTAAATGTTCTAACAAGTTTCAAATGCAGATTACTAATTTGTATGCAGTTCAAAAGTACTTTTTTTTCCCTACTTTTTTGATATTTTCTCGAATTTATTTGTAAATCATGTGCATGGAAACTTACAGAGTATGTTTATTTCAAATGCAGAAAAGTATGGGATGCTATAACTGGGGATGCAAAGCATTCATTTGAGCACAAGCACATTGTTAGGTCTTGCGCTTTCTCAGAGGTAAACTTTCTTCTTGTAAGCAAGTATGATTATGTATTTTTAATTGACGAAAGCCAATTAATTTAAACCTCTTTATTTGTGTATGCATGTGCGCCCCCCCCCCCCCCATTCTTTTCCAAGCTGGGATGCTCCTTTTCTTATGTTATATAGGCCTTAGCCAATTATATATGTGAGTGACTGTTTTAATGTCCATGTTTGGGCACAGGGTGCTAACCTTCTTTTGACCGGTGGGATGGAAAAAGTCCTTCGCATCTATGATCTGAATCGTCCAGATGCTTCTCCTCGAGAGGTGGATAAATGTCCTGGCTCAGTCAGAACTGTTGCCTGGCTTCACAGTGATCAAACTATATTGAGCTCTTGCACTGACATTGGTGGAGTTAGGTATGTTTGCTGGTATTTCTGAAAAAAAAAGAGGAGTTGAAGAGCTCTTTTTGAAGACAAAGTCTTCTAGTTCTCAATCTTTTGTTTTCATTGGGTGATGGTGTGTGAATTTCTCAGTATACTGTTCAAATTATCTTTATAGTTCAAGAAAAATGTGTTGATTGCTTTTGGTGCCTAGATAATCATGATGGGTTCCAACCATTGTTTGATAGCTTCTCTTCATGTCATGTTTGCTCCTGGGGGTGCTAGACACTTTTTGAGTGCTCAGACTTTAATGAAGGACACTAGGAAGTGAATACCCTTCTTACACCCTGCAATCAGCCAATTGCCTGAACTCTTTTCTTGCAGCTGAAAAATTCATGAGATTGTATGTTTGGATATGGTACGGTAATATGGGCTTTTGAATTCCCAGTTTCAATCAGCTGGCCAAGGTTTAACCTGGTTGAAAGGATAGGCTGCTTGGATTTCTCGTTCCAATGTCCATTATCATTTTGGAAAACTCTGTAGGTTCACTATAAGTTCCTAACTAGTAGCTTCCATTGGGAACCCTCTCTGAAAACTTTTCGTAATATACTAACCTAAGGAGGGGCATTATGGGTAGTATAATATTATTAGGTTAATGGTCTTTAGTTTTAGTATAAATGGAGAGAGAGGGGAAAAGAAAAGGTAGGCAGAATTTGGAATGAATGTTTTAGGAGAGTTGTGACCTCAAGTCAATATTTTGAGAGTTGTGACTTAAAGTCACTAATAGAAGCGTAGTGAGCTAAACTCAACTGTTTTGTGTAAACCTTTAAGCTTTTGATTAATTAAAGCTCAAATTTTCACCTCCATTTTTTCTGTTATTTGCTTTTGCTGTGTGTGCGAGTTGCTGGTCTCAGTCTATTAAACTTCTATGTGTTAAAATTTCACCTCCATTTTTTTTTTCTTTCTTTTCTGGTTATAGGACAAGCTAATATTATAACACTTGATTAAATATTTCTTTTATGCCAAACCGGTAAGGTTTGGGTTGTTCAAGTGGTACCAATGCGGTTATCACTTATACTGGATTTTGTTTGATTAGATTTGGTTGTATGCATGTATCTGACTTTTTGGAACTGTCATATTGTCCTGGAAAATATTTGCATAGGCTATTTTGACATGCTTATGATATTATGCAGATTATGGGATGTGAGAAGTGGTGAGATAGTCCGAACTCTCGATACAAAATCATCTGTCACCAGTGCTGAAGTGAGTCAAGATGGCCGCTATATTTCAACATGTGATGGCACCAGTGTTAAGTTCTGGGATGCCAATTAGTAAGTGCATCATCAAAATTCATTTTATTATCATTCTCCTTTTAAGATAATTTTGTATGTGCTGTTATATATAGTTTCTTCTTTCTTCCAGTTTTGGATTGGTCAAGAGCTATGAAATGCCATGCACCGTTGAATCTGCCTCATTAGAGCCCAAGTATGGAAACAAATTTGTTGCTGGAGGGGAAGATATGTGGGTCCGAGTGTTTGATTTTCATACTGGAGAAGAGATAGGTATGTTCTTCAAGTCTTCTGTGAAGCTTGCTCTCTTTGTTGTTTGCTTATCCAATTTAAATATTAAATTAATAAAAATGGTGGGTAACCTACTACTCTTTATTAGGAAAGAGTTTTTATGTAGACCCTAAACACATATATTCTTGCACTCCTTTCAATTTGTGCTCTCACTAGTGGAAGTCCATTTAGATTTGGGATAGTACTAGTAATTTGAGAAATTGCTGCCTTGGGAAGGAATGGTCAGCTGTATGTCCATGCTTGGAATAGTCATGAGTAACAGAGTAAGGAGCTAAAGCCAAGGGGCTGTTTGATGAGTGGATTTGAAGCTGATGGTTGTTTAGACTTTAGACTGAACATTTTCATTTGATAGTACTACTCTTTGTGTCCATATTTGAGGCTATATCGGTTGAGGTGCGGAACACTTTTAAAAATTTAACTTAAACGCCCTTCATATCCTTCTCTACACAATTTTTTAAAAAAATAATCTTTTTTATTTTTATCATAGTTTTAACTTTCTAATTATTGTAAATGTGTAAGTGACCTATTAACTTAAATGTTGCCAGCTTGGGACAGGGATTATTATTCTTATATTCTAGGAGTAGAAAGCTGAGCTTATTACGTTCATATGGAATTGATCTTTTAATCTTAAATTTAATTGTTCCATCCCCTTTTTTATTTTTTTATTTTTATTTTTTAGTATTAGATCCTAGAGGACAAGTCTTCTGAAAAGATGGCAAACATAAGTCAGATGTGATTATCTCATTAACTTAACTGTGGGTTCTGATTGAAACCTGTATTTTATGAAGCTTGCAACAAGGGTCATCATGGTCCTGTTCATTGTGTGCGATTCTCACCGGGAGGGGAATCATATGCCTCTGGATCAGAAGATGGAACAATCAGGATATGGCAGACAGGTCCTTTAACACAGGAAGAAAATGAGACAGTAGCTGCTACCACTGCCTCCACTGGAAAGGTTAAGGCCACTGGTAGTGGTGCAGAGGAAGTTTCGCAGAAGATGGAAGGCTTCCACATTGCTGATGAGGGGAAGGCCAAGGAAGAAGTAACAAATGCATAAATAGAGGGTCATAAAATAATGCTGCCTTTAGATTCTTTACTCTGGGTTTGTCTGGTTTTCTCTTATAACTGAAACCTCAGACAATATGCTTTAATAGACACCCGGGATGTTTTTGTATAATTTAAGGTTAACTTGTATGAGTTCTATTTGGAGTGCTTCATCATCGTATCTTTTCTGAGAAGAAAATGTGTAAAGAGGAATTTGTTGTATCATTCCTTTTATTACTATCGAGTCTGTTGACTACTGGAAGAATGCAGTATGATGCTGATATGATGAGAGTAGTGATAGATGTATCCCAGAGATACAAGTATACTTAACTGGTCCAATTTCAACAATTTCTGAGAATGCAGTATGATTCTGATATGTGGCCATTTCAAAGTTTGTTTGGTTTGTCTAGTCATTGTCCTCTACTTTGGCTCTTTTTCATCTGTAAGGCATGAAAAAATTTAGACGAATTATTTTGAGGTGTTCGGAAAAAGTTGACTAAAACAATATGATATTCCGTATGATTCGACAATGTGAATAACTACTCCAGTTATTATGAGAGTATTTGATTAGGCCTATCGGGGACTTTTTTGGTCATTATGAAATATATATAAGCCCTTAAATAATACCAAGCATGGTTCAAAATTTTCTCCAGTAGCAGATGTAAATCATGTGGTTAGAGGTTTTTTCTAATACAGTCGATCATAAAACACCAAAGACCATGAAAAATTATCAAAAATTTGATACACAACAATTGCAGTTTTAAAGGGAAGTGTTATTTTATTCATTTTAATATGTATTTAATGATGGATTACAAATTTATACCTCAAATGTCGTATGGCTTTCAATCAATTCTTTTACGTGGTATCGGCCTTTCCAAATGTAGAAAAATGCCCAAGTATAGATATTTCAATAGTGATATCCACGGACTTGTCGCAACATCACAAATTAAAGCAATCAGAATCAGGAGGATTACAACAAATTTTTGTTCCCAGCAAAGTAGAAAAACAGAACCAAAATTTTCTAGAACTAAGACAGCTTGCTAGAAGTTCAGAATAGTATGCTTGTCACTAGTCAGCATCTTAGAATTTCCACCACATATTTTGATTTGTCTTCTTTTCTTTGAAAGTTCTAGGCTCCCTTTCCCTTCTTGGTCACTACTTTCCTACGAGCAAAGCTCTCAAGGCGCACAAGTGGAGTGTATGTCGTGGTCATACAAGTTGCGACTGATGTACAAGTGGAAACACCGGAATGTAGTTGTGTTTGTTGTTAACTATTGGTAGATGAATGCGGCCCTTCAACGAAGAAGACCTGTTCTAGTCCAAGAAGATCGAATCCTGGCAGTCTTGGCCAGATAATTATGTTACGTTTTTTTGGACATAAAAGAGAAAAAGTTCGAAAAGGTTTTGTTAGAATTGTGAGGCATCATTCTGTTTTAGTAAACGTCTGATGCTTCTGAAGCAGTTTCTAAAGATACATTGATGACGGTTGAACAACAAACCTCAAAACAAAATGGAACTTGTTTTGCTCTGTCTAACATATAATGATATGATATACCACGACATTAGATGAAATTTGAAGAGAATTCTGAATTGACATAAAATTTGAAAGTTCAACACGAAAGATATGGTACAATTGAACCATCAAAGGATAAACTAATAAGTACATCACGAGTATCTTCAATAGCACGAAGACTCCAAGAGAAAAAAAAATAACTAAAAGAATTTCATAATCTGCTGGGTACAGTTAAAGCGAAAGATGGGAAGAGGACTTCACCACACAGACATCAGCAGCATTGGCTTCTACCTCTACATGTTGAAAAATGTACCAAAATTTGCCCTGCCATCTCTCAAGTCATTAATCGTAGTTTCTGTATGACAATACAGGGACCGCAACCCATTAGCAAGATGGCTATAAGTGAATCACACAAAACATGAAAAACATGATTTAAAATGGAGACACCAACGGAACATTGACCGGAAACTTATGGATCTCGTCCATCCATGGATTCTTCTCCTTAGCAGGGTTTACAGTTCTGAGAGCCTTCCAGACTGCACTGTTGCACTTGAAACCAGACCCGAATGCAATCTGCCACACTCGATCTCCTTTCCTCATCCTCCCCTTAGCTTCTGAGTATGCCAATTCATACCACAGAGAACTACTTGAGGTGTTACCGAACCTATAAAGGGTCATCCTAGATGGCTCCATGTGCCACTCGCTGAGCTGCAAGTTCTTTTCTAGCTCATCAAGCACGGCTCTCCCCCCAGCATGGATGCAAAAATGCTCGAAAGCCAACTTGAAATCAGGTATGTAAGGCTTGATCTTCATATTGAAAAGTTTCTTTCCAACCAATGTGGCCAAGAAGAGCAGTTGTTCGGACATTGGAAGAACAAGAGGCCCGAGAGTAGTAATGTTGGTTTTCAAAGCATCACCAGCAACTGCCATCAATTCTTTGGATAGAGAAACACCAACCTTCCCATCAGCATCTTCTTCTTGGTAAACACAAGAATAGCACTTGTCATCGGAACCTTTATGGGTCCTAACACTGTGAAGCAACTGGTACTTGGACCTTCTCTTATCCGATCTTTTGTTAGAAAGAAGTATAGCAGCAGCACCCATTCTAAACAAGCAATTTGGAAGAAGCATTGAACGTTCATTCCCAAGGTACCAATTCAAAGTGATGTTTTCAGTACTAACAACCAAAGCATAAGAATTTGGGTGAACTTGAAGGAGTTGCTTAGCAAGATCAACGGAAATGACCCCAGCACTACATCCCATTCCTCCTAGGTTATAGCTCACAATGTTCCCTCGTAGCTTATAATGGTTCACAATCATTGCAGAGAGGGAAGGGGTAGGATTAAACAAGCTACAGTTGACAACTAAAATCCCAATATCCTTGGGTTTCACATTGGTCTTGGCTAAGAGCTCATCAATGGCACCATACATCACCTCCTCAGCCTCAGCCCGAGCAGAAGCCATAGAAGGGTTAGGAGGTGTATTATGAAGAGACTCTGGGAGGTAAGTTTCCTCCCCAAGGCCAGACCTCTCAAGGATTTTTCTCTGAAAACCAAGGATTTGGTCAGAAAACACCCCAGCAGACTCGGTTTTGTCCATGAAATAGGTCCTCGGACATTTAAGGCAATCATTCGGCTTAGCGCATGAGAAATTAACAAGGTAAACAGGGCGAGGGCGGGTCATAAAGTACAAAGTGGACAGGAAGACAATAAGGGTTGAGCAGATAATCACAGAAATAAGGTTATATTGAAGATGCTCCCAAAGTAAATTAATGTCTTCTAGTGAAAAAGTGGAGAGCTGAGCAGCAAGTATGACTACAAAAGGAGTCAGTAAAAGGTACATAGCATGGGTAATAAGGTAATGGTAACCAAGTTTGACATACTTCAACCTCACAGATTGCTTAAAATCCGGTAGCTTTCTCGACGGTGAAGACGACGAGGTGGTTGCTGATGGTGGGATCAAGGGTGTAGTGGGTTTCGCCTCCGCCATTTTATTCCTTCTTCCACTCTATGTAAACATTACAAAATTGAATTAGACTGAATCCAACTATGGAAAAAACCTAGTAATGTTCTTACTTCTTATTCATACCAAAAGCATGACAAAAACACTGTATCATTAAGCATCAGTAAGAGATTAAACACTTTAACTCAAATTTCAAACAGAATTTGAATTTTTTATTACTTACATCTGAAATTTCCAAGTCAACCCAATTTATGTAATTGTCTCGCATGAAACAAGCAATTCATAAACCCTAAACAACATTATTTTAGATCCATAATCACAAATTATACATTCTCTAAACTTTCCAATTCTCATTTCATCCAAACTAAGTTCCCATCTTTTTCAAATTCAACAAATCACGTCAACTCAGATGAAGACTTAGCACTAAAACCAAATCTATCAAAATTAAAACCAACCCATTTCAATTCAACACAAAAAAAAAAACCCCAAATCATGCTTAGAAATGCCATCATCATCATCCAATCCTAATCAAATAGAAAATTATAAACTAAACACTTAAAAAGTTCACACCTTTTTCATCATTACAAAATCAAACAATCTAAATTAAAACTAATTAAAAATAAATCACATCAGTTAATCTAACATATGCACAAATTTGCCACCAAAAAAATTCAAACATAATCAAATCAAATCTTTATCATCATTACAACATCAAATCAACCCCAGATGAATACTAAATCCATAAATCAAATCAGTTCATCCAAATAAACACCAAAAAAGTTCAAAAAATCAAGAAAAATTAGAAGGAAAAAAAAAACCCAGATCAGAAAACTAACCAGAGAGTAAGAAGATCCCACCAGAGCAGCAAACAGATGACAGAGTTGTGAAAAGGGACCCTCCCAAATGCAAAGAATGGAGGAGGAATCTCAACCACGTGAAACCCCCAAAAAAGCCAAAAATTTAAAAAAAAGATATTGACTTTTTAGCAAAATAATTCACTATTTTCCTAAAAAAAAATAAAAATTAAGACTAAAAATGAATCTATGTTTAGACAAAAACCCAGTTCAATAGTAATAATTATTAAAATTAAGTGGAGAAGATAATGGGTAACCACTGACTGAAATGAGGAACTGGAAACAGCAAACTTACGCGTTTCTCGCGATTATTTATTAAGAAATTAATATTAATAAAATTGAAATAAAAAAATTAATTAAAGGAGTTTTTTTTTTGGTAGTGTGAGGGATTATTTGTGTTACTTGCGCGGCGGCGCCTACTGGGTTTGAATTGTTTGAGATTTGGGTGCTTTTTTTTGTGTGTGATCAACGGCTATATTTATAGTGCCATAAGAATAACGTAAGGTAAGGAAAACTTGTGACCTGCCAAAAAAAAAAAAAAAAAAAAAGGGAAAGGAGACTTGTGACCAAGTCGTTAGTTCCTCATATTGAAAGTCGGTTTGACGTGTTTTTATTAATGTTTCGTACTGCGTAATGACTACAGTCTATGTGGGTCAAGTATAGACATTCACTAAAATGAATTTTGAATGGTTGAGCAAGTGGGTCCTAGTAATTTTGCTTATGAAATTTCAATTTGAAAATTTCCCGAAATTTAAAATTTAAAATTCAAACCTAAAAATGTACTACAAAAAATCAGTGAGAATGGGGTTGGATTGGGAGTGGTTATTAGAGACCATCATGGTGCTGTGATTCAAGCCGGCTGCTAGCAAATTCGACAATCATAGGATGCTAATGAGGCATCTCTAGGATAGCTCACCTTAGCCCTTTAAATCATTCTACAAGGGTGTGGGTGGGAGGATGCCCGAATAATTTTGCTGATATTATTGATGCTGATGCTTGCCTTTCTATTTTAATAAATTACAGTAGCCTTTGGCTGCTTTCATAAAAAAAATGTACAAAAATTATTTTGTTAGTATCAAATATGGATTTATTCTACAATATTTTTACAAGATTTGGTATCAAATTATTAATTGTAATAGAAAATATACTTATTTGATTTCAACTTATTAATATATTGATAACAATAGCAAAAAGATGATTATTATTATTATTATTAAGTCATTACTAATAACTACGGAGTACGAGTATAAGTTTTTATGTGATAGCTAATATTTCCTCCGTTTTTTTATAACAATATTGGGGATTTTACACTTGTCAATGCACATTTTATAACTTAAATATCTTAAATTCAATTTTTGTAAAAAACATAAAATGTTAATACTAATAAAGTACATAAATTCTTATACGTGGCCATACGTGATATGCCCAACCATCATGGGGATTACTTCATTCGTGTTATAGGGGTTACTCGGTCAGTGTTACAGGGGTGACTTTGTCAATATTATAGAGGTTACTCGATCAATGTTACAGGGGTTACTTCGTCAGTGTTGTAAAGGATACTCGGGCAGTATTACATGGTCAATGTTATAGGGGTTACTTTGTTATTTTACAAGCGGCCACATAGTGTGACCATTTGCACACAAAACGCGCTGAATAAAGTATCTTTCAAGACAAATATAAAAGATCTTACATTTTTTTTTTGAAGAAATAAAAGAACTTACATGACTAATCTCTTCGTTTCGTTATAATCGCAACAATTTCCTTTTATATCCGTTGCAGAGTAAACAATCCACTACTATTTTATTATATCTCTCTCCCACTAACCCCACTTGCATAAATACTTTATTGATCAGATTATTTCTTTCTCTTACTAACCCTACTTATTACTTTTTAATTATTTCTTTCTCCTAATAACATTTTTATAATATATCACCATTAACTATAATTTATATTATAAAATAAACCCTATGATCCCTACCCTATAAATTTCTTAATGCTTTGGGTAAGACCTACTATAATGATTATTACGAAATGGAGGGAGTATAACTTTTCCAACGTTTAAAGAAGTGTGTAAGAATAGTACGAAGTATTTATTAACAAGTTTACTACCAATTAAATTTTGACAACACATTAATATGTAAAAGAAAGGAGGGAATTCGTGAAAGTGATTAACTATGTTACATATCCAGCAAACTAATCATACCATTCAGTTTAGACACTTAACGATAACATCTACAATAGTTCTAGCAATGACCACTTACAAGAACTAAGAATGAAACCACTTAAGCTCAATTAATTAACACCCCACATTATCTAAATCAACACATGCAAACAAGTATTTGTGTATTCATCAATGGTTTCAACCATCCCAAGCTACTCACAAATGATAATAAATTGCAAAACTAAAGGATCGGAGTTAACAACTAAGAACATGAAATCAAACACTAATTTAACATAAACAAGTAATAAAACTAGAAAAGATACAAAAATAAGTAATTAAAGCAATAAAATAAGAGAGAGAGTAAGAAATTCTCATTGATATTACAAGTAGTAATCAAATCTTCAAGTCTCCTTCCTTCAATTCTTCATATTCCAAGCTTTCAACAAGTTTTTCACACTTTCTCTCTCTAGAAAATGAGAGTTTCTCTCTCTAAAAACCCTAACCTAATCTAAAACTACCATAAAAAGATCACCCCTTCAATAATCGGAGCTAAGGGGGTATTTATATTACCATAAAATAAAAAGGACGGAGAAAACGAGGAAAAAGCCTGAAAATAGGCTTGCACGAATGTGCAGAAGAGGTAAAAATGAGGCAAAACCTACTGCCAAGTCTGGAGCAGGTCTGCATGGACGTGCAGCCTTGCACGGATGTGCCATTTTGTTGCACGTCTGTGCAGAAACCCCCGCCTGGACAGCTTGACTTCGGGAGGCTGTTTGTTTCTAGTAAAAAATGGACATTGTGACCAATCGTTAGAAAGCTCTTGAGACGAAATTTAATCTCCAATTTGAATCACTTCAAAATGTTAGTACAACAAAAGTTATGGTCAGTTGAAGTTGACCCTTGTGCAAACAACCCTTCAAGGCGTTCCAAAAACTTTTCATTTCTCTTTAAGGCACTCATCCTTCTTCCTCCATAGCTCTATCAACCAAGCTTGCCCTTCTCCTTGCTCACTCATGCTTGATTGCCTTCACAGTACTAAAAAGCGCTACATTATATCAAAAACACGAACAACCCGTGAAGCATAGATGGTACAAAATTTACATAAAAATAGGATAAGTAATGAACTTTGATGCCGAATAATAACGAAAACAAGGTTCAAAACCACCCTAAAATCATTCCAAATAACAAGTTATTGTTAGATTTCGGGAAAACTCCTCAAATAGGAGTGTGTACCATTGATCAATATATATAGAGTTTAACAAGACTTGTAATCCTAGTACGATAAGGATACAAAATATATACAAAACATATCCTAATCTGCGACAAATATTATCATAACTATAATATATATCAGTTATCATCTACCATTTTTAAGATTTTAATTAATGTGTTTGATACGTAAATAACTAATATGATACCAAAATAAATAAAATGACACCCACATTACTAAAATTAATACTTAAATAAATAATTTGCTACATAATAACTGAAAGTACTTTATACTTCTACACATAAACACGAAGTATATTATACTATCATTTTGAAAGGATTAATCTGCCAATCATCAACCATATGTCCATATATAATCATTCATGAAAATTACTTTGGAAAATTTGGCCAAAATAACACAAACTTTGGCCGGTTCGCCAATAATAACACCACCTTTGAGTTATCCCAAAATAACACCAACTTTGGGGGGTGTCTTCCAAAAATGGTACAAAAAAAATGGTAACCGGATTTAGGAGGTAATATTGCTGACGTGTGTTATGTTTTTGCCAGGTTGTGCGTTGATTCCCCTTAACCATCCAACGTGTAATTAAATTTTACACACCTAACTCCTGTCTCCCTCTTTAATTCATTTCCCTCCATATTTCACTCCTTTTCTTCGTCTTCCAACCATTTTATCAGAGAATCTCAGAGCATATTCAATTCCTCATTTCGTCATTTCCCTTTGAAATAATCAGAACTCAATTCCGAAATTCTACTGCTCCCAAAGAAAATTGCATTGAAGTGAAGTGAAGAGAAGAGTGAAAAAGTTGCGATCTTTGGTTCCCAAAATGCCCAGAAAGACGAAGAAGAAAGGTTCGTGTTTTTTTACTTTCTTTGTTTTGTTTGAATTATGATTGTTGGGTGGATTTTATGTGTTCTAATTTGAATATGGATGTTCGTATGTTTAATTATGTTGTTAATTGTTAAAGTAGGTTTAATAATTAGGTTGATTTGTATGGTGAATTATGTTGTTCACTCGATAAATTTTCTTGTTAATTGCTGAATTAGGGTTAATTACTTGAGTGTTTGTTTGGAGTCTAATTGAGTTGTTTAATTCTAGGGTCTGCTGCAAATACTCATGTTTTTGATAATGTGACTGTTCGATTCTGGTATGGGGGTCAATTTAAGCATGTTCGTAATGGTGAAATGGTGTATAAGGGTGGGAGTTGTAGTAACTTTGATGTTGACCCAGATGAACTTTGTTACTGGGACTTAAGGGATTATGGTAGTAAGTGTGGGCTTGCTCATGTGGATGCTTTGTTTTACCAAATGCCTGGGTTAAATATTGAGAAAGGTTTGAGAAAAATTCAAGGGGATGCTGAGGTGTTAGAGATGGGTAAGTTAGCTGTTGTAAATAGGAGTATTGTTGTGTATGCAGTTCAGTTTGAGAGAAAAGTGGGAGAAGGTTCAAATGCTGAAGTTGTGGAAGTTGATGTGGCAACACAAGTCAGAAAAGTACTTTGTTGAATGATGACCCCAAAGTTACCATATCCAAAACAACAGGCAAGGTACTTGAGAAACCCCCACCCAAACTGAACAAAAGAAAAAAATTGACCCCAAGGAAGGGACCACAAACACAGGTGGTGAAACCCTCATTGACTGAAGAAGATGCTTCCACTTCACCTATAAAAGCATCTACCACATCACCCAAAAAAGCATCTATAACTTTACCAGAAAAAGCATCTGACCTTCCCCACAAAAAAACAAAAAAAACTGACCCAACAACCTCATTTATTCCCCACCAACCAGCAACTCAAAAAGAACAGACTCAACCCCCCTTGAAAATCACTTCAGAAACTCAACCCTTCACTCAAAACCAGTCTCTTCATCTTTCTCAATTCCCATCCTTAGAGTTTGTTTCTACTGGTGAGTTGCCTGAGGTTAACACAGATTTCAATGAGGAATTTTAGTGGGAGGATGACAGACCAGAGAGCCCTTTGAAATGGAATGAATTAGTTGCTGATGATGAGTCTAGTGATGAGAGTGACCCATTATATGATCATGAGTATCAGAAGTTTTGTGAGGGTGGGGAGTTTGAAGATGATGATGAAGATGATTTTCAGTTTGAGGTAAATGAGAGCATAGAGAAAGAGAAGGAAGGTGATTTTAGTCTATCTGACATAGATCTAGAAGGTGAAGGTGAAGATCTAGAACAGACTGATTTCTTTGAAGATGAATCTGGTGACAGTGATGATGAGATTATTGAAGCAAGGGATAGAGTAAAGAGGGTTAATACAAAGTTACTTGAGATAGTGAAGGGATTGCAAGAAAAAGTTTGTAAGGAGAAGGAGAAGGAAAAGGCAGTTGATGAGGAGAGGGAGTTTGAAGTTGATGAAGAGAGGGAGAACTCAGTTCATGAAGAGGTTGCAAGGGATGTAAACCTAAGTGACTGTGATGAAGATAATGACATTGATACACCACCTGGTAGTAGTGATGAATTAGAAGGGAAAAAGGGAGAGTTAGTGAGCCATGAAACTGATTTCAGTAAGTTTCATTGGAAGGTTGGTCAGAGGTTTGCTAATGCCAGTGACATTAAGGATGCTGTCACTAAGTATGTTGTATTACAGGGTAGAGATCTAAAGTATAGTGTGAGCTGGAAAAACAGACAAAGGTTGGGAGTGAAATGTGTTGGTGAATGTCCATTTTATTTATATTTTTCTATGCATTCTAGAGATGCAACTTGGCTAGTGAAGAGAGTAGTTGGAAATCACACATGCCATAGGAACATGAATAGTAACAGGCAGTTGAAGTCCAGTTGGGTGGCTAGGCAGTTGCTTGATGTGTTCAAAGCTAGGCCACATTGGCCAGCTAAGGAGATTGTAGACACTGTAAGGAGGTCTTACAGAATGATTGTCAGTAGAGATTTTGCTTACAAAGTAAAATACCATGCACACAAGATGTTACATGGCTATATGAAAGAGCATTATATGAAGGTGGAGAGGTACTTGAAGGCATTGAAGGAAGCAAGTCCTGAAACAGTGTTGGAGTTGGTAGTTGCTCCACAACCTCAGAGTTCTACCCCAATGTTTAGTAGGATGTTCACTTGCTTTGATGGAGTTAAGAAAGGGTGGACAGCAGGGTGTAGGAGAGTGATATGTGTGGATGCTGCATTTTTGAAGACATTTCTTGGGGGTCAGATATTGACTGTTGTTTCCAGGGATCCCAATGAACAGATGTTCCCCATTTGTTGGGCTGTTGTGGAAGGGGAGAACAATCTGTCTTGGGAATGGTTCTTTAACCACTTAAAGAATTGCCTAGATCTTGGACAAGGAGAAGGGATAGCTATTATTTCAGATGAGCATCAGGTATAAGTCATTAATTTGTGTAATATGTTATCTCATTTAATGATGATGATTGACATTAACTGGTTCTTTTTTTTTGGTACACAGGCTATCTTACATGCTGTAAGTGTTGTTCTTCCTAAGGCTGAACATAGGCACTGTGCAAGGCATATTTTTGCCCTCTGGCACAGAACCTACAAGGGAGATGAGATGAAGCTTTTGTTTTGGAAGATAGCAAAGGCCTATAACCAGGCTGATTTCAATGAAGCAATGGATGAGTTGAGACAGATTGATGAAGAGACTGCCCTTGCAATAACAAGGTATAATCCTCAGTTCTTCTGTAGGGCATTCTTACAGGAAGGCATCAAATCTGAGGCCATTACTAACAATATGGCTGAAACATTTAATGCTTATATCATTAATGCTAGGACTAAACACATAATTTACATGTTAGAGGAAATTAGAGTTGCATTGATGCAGAGGTTAGTCAAAAAAAGACATGAGATGGAAAAATGGACCTCTTTGCTATGCCCTAGGATACAAGCTAGGTTAGAAAAGGAGAAAGAGAAAGCTGCTGATTGTGAAGTCTTGCCTTCTTCTGTGAGTCAGTTTAATGTTAGGTATTATTTGGATCAGTTGAATGTAGATTTAGTTGCTAGAACTTGTAGTTGTAGAAAATGGAATATGGTAGGCATTCCTTGCTGTCATGCCATAGCTTGCATTTATTTTGTGAACCAAGAACCTGAGGTATTTGTTGATGAATGTTACAAAGTTGAGACTTATAAGAAGGCCTACAGTGGTTGTATACCTCCATGTGAAGGTGAGAGGTATTGGCCAAGATGTCCATGCAATTTGGACCCCCCTCCTATCAAGATAGGTCCTGGTAGGCCAAAAAAGAACAGAATTAAGCACCCTCTTGAGAATCCTAAGAAGCCAGGGTCATTGAGTAGGGCAGGAGTAGAAATGACTTGTAGCATATGCAAGAAGAAGGGTCATAACAAGAGAGGCTGCAAAGACAAGGATTCTGTTGTCCCTGATGAACCAGCACCCAAAAGACCCAAGGGAAGACCAAGAAAGACTGCCCCATCTACTGATGTTACCTCATATGCCCCATCTACACAAGCAACCCCAACACCCACCCTGACACAGACTGCATCATCTTCAACTCCTGCAACACAATCTGCCCACCATACTGCTACTGCACAGCCAACTCAACTAGACAGGGGTGGAAGAATGATACTTGGAGGTCAAGGTGCTAGAAGTGTCAGTCAAAGCAGCACCAGAGGAAGAAGCTCGGCTGGTAGAGGGTCTACAACTACAAGTAGGGGAAGAGGAAGGGGAAGGGGAAGAGCACAACCATCAGGAATTGGGATAATGTTTGCTGATGATGAAGCCCAATTGTTACAGTAAGAATTAGTACTCCCCCTTTCATTTTTGTGTTTGCTTTTTTTTTTTTTTTTTGGAAAATAAGCCAATAACTTTGTAATTTGTGTGGCAGGAACCAAGTACCAGACCAAACACAAGATCTATCTCCCAGATGCAACAGTGATCAAGTGAAGATCTTATGTGCTCCATTTCTTTTGTACTTACTAAGTATGCTTTTGGTCTAAGTGTGTAATTTGTCAAACAATTTAGTTGTTAAACAATGTTAGAGATCTTATGTAATTAAGTATTGGAAACAGTTGCTGGTATTTTGGAAATAGTTGCATGCATTATTGAAACATTTGCAGGCATTATAACAGTTCTGCCTTTGTCTTTTGATATTGCTGTGGTTGTGTTTTTCAATTTGTGCAAATAATTTGTGGTCTTTTGATATTGCTCTGGTTTTGTTTGTTTTTCATTTTGTGCAAATAATTTGGGAAATTTGTGGTCTTTTGATCTAGCTCTGGTATGTCAATTGTACACTGCTATTGCAATTATGATGAAAATCAATTAAGTACAAAATACAACAGCAAACATTACTCATTAAACATTCAATTAAGCATCCATTAATCAATTACACAGATTGCTTTTTATTTCCACATAAAACATTCAACATACATCCTCATTTCTTCCTTAATCAATAAAGGAAAATTACAACACCAAACAACAACCAAGAAAACAACAATGCTAAGTACAACGTTTTTTCATTCCTACCACACTTCATTAACTCAATCTTCATTGCAACTATTTCATTCTTCAACCCTATGATGTCTTCCTCCAATTTTCCTTTCTTTAATTGCAATTTCTTTATTTTCTCATGTGCGATTTTTTGTTCAACCTGTAACTCACCAATTATGGTTTCCTTTTCCAACAACTTCACTTCATAATCTTCCATCTCAGCCTGCTCATTCACCCACTTGAAAAAATCACATTGAGTGTCCTGCATCCAGTAAATATGAACAATAAACAACACCAAATTAGGGTAATTACAATTACATATCCCCAAATTACAATAAACAAAAAAAGATGCAATAAACATAGGGCAATCAATCACAACTTACTGGCCACATAGGGCAGCCGTAGAACTTCATCCCCAAATTAGGGCCTTTTCTCACAGTTTTAATCAAAGCTTCATTCCCACAATTGCAACGAATTTTCGAATTACCCATCCTTTTTATGCTAGAGGATGAACATGATTGGTTCGAAATTGACCTTCTTGTAGCCATTGATTAATTTTTTAAGAGCACTAAAATTGATACAACACGAACGATTAAAGAGAGATGAAGAGCAGAGGAAAACAAAGAACTTGAAGATGAAGAAGGAGCAACAAATTAAGAGAGAGGAAAACAAAGAAACAGAGGAAGAAGATGGAGCAACGACTACTGAGAGAGGAACAACAGAGAATGAAGAAGAAGGAAGAATAAGGCATTTTTTTCTAACGGTTATAAAGAAGAAGAAAGAACACGTTGGATGGTTAAGGGGAAGCAACGGACAACCTGGCAAAAACATAACACACGTCAGCAATATTACCTCCTAAATCCGGTTACCATTTTTTTTGTACCATTTTTGGCAGACACCCCCCAAAGTTGGTGTTATTTTGGGATAACTCAAAGGTGGTGTTATTATTGGCGAACCGGCCAAAGTTCGTGTTATTTTGGTCAAATTTTCCAATTACTTTTCTATATTCCTTATCTCCATACACCTACAAGTGAAATCAATTACCAAAAACTACATCAAACTCACAATTCCAAGGTGCAGTTGAACTAATTCCTCTAAAACATGTAAATTAATCTAACTTGAAGGTTATTTAAGAAATTGCTTTCGTTTTTACCTCAAAGGCGTTCCTTCTCGCAACACCATAGTCTTACTACTGTAATTTGAGAAAGCCAATCATTCTCTCTTTTACAACTTATTCTGTAGATTACATGGATTATGGTTGCAAAGCATTGATTAATGATTTTTCACCGACTTTGTCTAGCTACTTACATTAGTATTCATGAGTATTGTTTGCTTGTTTATAATTAATAACCAAGTATGCCTTATTATTATTAACTAGTCTTTCTAATCAATTTTCATGAAATTAAAGGCACCAAATTCTCGCGAAAATATTCCCGCTTACTTATACTTAGGCGGTAGAATACTAAAAGTTTTCCCCTCAATTTTTCCCTCCTATTTTTTCAATAAGTCATGTGTTGTCAGTTTGGTATTGGTTGTCTATATAGGGTCCACATAGACTATGTCTATGTGTATCATCTCCCTTTCGTACTGATTAAATATAAAGTTACTAAATTTTGTTATCCGTGATTGTATTATTTTGACTTGACATGTTTGTCAAAATATATATCATGGACTATTATTTTATTGGTAAGAAAATATATTTTGTAAAAAGTTAATCTTGTGAAAATATATGTTGTTCTTAATCCAGCATATATTATTAAAAGAGTAAAGCTAAAGATCATTTTCAAACAATTAAAAAAGGTAAAGGTAAAGATTATGCATGAATAATGGACATAGGTAGAAAGAAGCACTAAGGCCTTGTTTTGTTCACCATAATTTCACATAATTCAAGTGTTATAAGTTTGGTAAGTTTAAATAAGTTCAGATAAGATAAGTTAAGAAAAAATAAGTTTTGGTAAAGGTTATTTAAGTTCAAATTCCAACTAAAATAAGTTTTAATAAAGATTAATTAGTTTTTATAAGTTTAGATAAGATAAAATAAGTTTAGATAAATGAAAATTCAAGTGAATACACACATTTACATAGAACGGATAATTTAAAAGAATTTGAACTTATAGAAGTCCTAAACCCTAAAAATTTGATGAAAGGGATGATGTTATAGACTACAACTACTTACATATGTTACTTTAAGCTCTTGGTAGTTAGGAATTTAATACTAGTGCGTAATAGTATTATTTTCAACTATATTTTTAATATTTGCACAAAATTAAGTGTCAAACTTGACGTATTGCTTTGGTCAATTGCTCATGTGATTCATTTCCTCCTTACAAAGTAATGTACGAGTAGCTTTTAATTGCATACAACTATAGTTAGCTTTCCTTATCTCTTATCCTAGGTACGATAAAACCGTAACCGTCTTTTAATTATGATATTGTGACATTTTTTTAAGGTGGGGAAGCGCTCTTATTAATTAATAAGTACTATCTTCAACGGAATTTTTGGACCAAAATATAAAAGGCGGTTTAAACCTTCAATATCTATTATCTAGTTATACTCCATTTCATATAAAGTAGATAGTATAAATATCAAATCGATTTGATTAATAGGATTTATTAGTTAAGTTGAAATTATGAATATTTTTACCACATAGTATAATTTAAGTTTGTTTAAGAAAATTCACATTCGACAACCGAATACTTTTCAAACTCGTCTAGTCTAGTCAAAATTAAAATATATTCCCATTTTAATGAACGTCTTATCTTGAGACAAAACTAATGCCATTTTAAAATCAACCATAATACGTATGTACCAAATTACATCAGCGAGATAAGCCTTCTTTACCTACCATACTCAACCAATTTTCCTATATATTTGATCCATAGACATGCGCATGAAGCTTTCTAGGAAGGTTTAGCGTCTTAACGATCACATGTTTCCAAAGCTAATGAAGTCAATTTCTACAAATTCAATGCATGATTAATAAATACTTGCACAACTAATACTGTAATATGAATAAACTATTGATTCTAGAACCTTTTTGACCAATATGGCCATATTGCACGCATGCTACTGTGAGGTAAATAAAGTACTTCTGATGTTTAAATCTCGTTGCCCATAACTAACGCCAAATCAATGATTGGAGGTAAAAGTCAAGTCAACAGTGTACAAAAAGGAAAATAAAATAATAAAATAAATAAAACCAATAACTCAACTAGAAAAAACAAGATATCTACCGAGTAGTAAATTGAGTAGTACTCCATACATAATTTGCTAACCACTTATCGACATTTTTGGAACATAAGATCTTTGATTTTGCACACTATTGGTCATTGATAAACTAGGCTTTTGCCTTGTGAGAAGGCATGCCTAGTTTTGTTTCCATACCTTAGCTTTATGATCAAACACTCATCTAAACTAAGAACAAAGTGAAAATACTTCTTGATTATATACCTTGTGCCTAGAATATCATGAAGTAAAGTATGTACTCATTATGGTTTTATCTAACATTAAATCCATATACTTTTCATCTTCAGCTTCAGCTTCCAGAAGGTGACCTCGAACAAACATGGCAATCAGAAGTTCTACTTCAACAGCTTGAATGTCGAGTTTTCCTAATCTTCTTCGAAACTAAAATCTTCAAGCCATATCAGCACCTCATTCCTCTTCAGTAGTTGGACCAAAATTTGAGAAAAAGAGAACAATTGTAAGAGCTTGTAACCAAGAAACACGATTCACAAAAGATGAAATTGCATAACAAATGCTTCTTACCATTATGAACTCCCATGTTCGTCCAGGATCATTGTAGCGAGCAAGCAAGCACCCTTTTCTTGGTCTGAGCCCATCTCTGATAAGACTATCCCGAAGTTCTTTTTCTTTTTGTCTGACGATTTCCTCTGTAGGTTTTCCACTAAATTTCAGTGCTGCAGCAATATCTCCTTCTACTCTCCTCAGGTTGATAGTCTCTTGATTAGGGTCAGGCAAACTAACACACATTTGCTCAAGTTAGCTATACAAACAACCATATTCTACAATAAGAATGCTGCTGGCAGAGCCACCTGAAAATCCTTGCCAAGAACTTTGGTGATATAATGCTAAATAATATTGCAATAACTGCTGATGATTTGTCTGTCCTTAAATGATAAGTTACAGTCAGGTCGCCTCAAAATAATATGCTCATTTCTAAATTTAATAAGTTATAATTATGACTTCCGAAATACCCTTAACGATATCATTAACTAAGAATTTCAAAGAAAGACTACTCAGGTATGGTGGAAATTAAAACTTAGATAATGGAGGATAGTTATGGTATAGTACTCCATTTCTTATAAGATGTGCCTAATTCCAATAGCCACAGCTTTTAAGGAGACCAAAGTCTCACCTGTCAAGGTCTTTATCTTGTGGAAGGACTATCTGGACGGACACTTTTGACTCTCCAGCATCATCGGTCTCAGTGAAGACAGGAGTAGTCATGGGTATCTTCTCTTCCTTGGAATTTTTTCCAAATATATATCTGGAGAAAAGAACAATTCTCATTACTTATCATTGTGTAACACCAGTTTAGCAGAACTGCAGATGATAGGTCTAGCAATAGGAATAACACTTACCCAGCGACAGAGTTAAAGCCAGCTGATCCAGAAAGCTTGTCACCCTGAGTTTCTACAACTATAAATGGGGCATACTTTCTCACCTGTGTTTTTGTATAAAAAACAGTGTAGTGAGAAATGTGAGTGTACTGACTACTGTACTCTCCTCAGGATCACATATTAGATTCAAGTGAAATAAAAACCAGGAATGGGGCATATGAATCTCATCAGGATAGTGTCGTTGAAGGATCTTAATCATAATTCCTCAAAAAAAGAAAAAGAGAGGACAAAACAAAAAGACGTAACCTTTATCAGATTGTAGATTAGTGGGTGACATTTATGAAATTTGAGGTGACTAACTAAGTCCATTGTATACACTATACAGATGCACCTGTTGCACTTGCTAGGGTGCTAGACCCTGCCATATGATTTTCTATCATTCAATTTGATAGTAAAGGGAATATACTTAGCTTTCTAAGCCATCCTTAACAAACAACCTTAAGAAAGGAGGCAAAGATTTGTATCATATGGAACTGCAATCACAAGAGAAGAGATTCAGCCACTATATACTTCAGTGTACAGAAAATCAGACCTCATAGTTTGCAGTTCTTTTCAGTATCTGATATTTAGGTGTTTCCAAGTCTGGTGTCTTGTACATACGAAGCTGCATATAAGGAATGTGTTTAATTAAAAATCTGAAGAGCATATGACATAATAAGTTCATTAGACTAATAAAGACACCAATACCTGTCTAAACACATCCCATAAGCCTTCCAAAGAAAAGTAGTCATTGGCCTTTATAGAGTCCCAATAATCCTACATATTTCACATTGTCAGAAATGTTCTAATAAGGTTTCTCGAGTTTTCATATAAGTCAGTACACCAAATTTAATCACTTCGCATGGCAACTAAGCTCACCACATGACTACAGAATTTTTCTGTCTCAGGGTTGATGCCCATTACTGAAGTTCCAGTGAAGACCAATTCTGGTTTCCACGGCAAGGGAATAAATGTCATCACCATAGTCCACCTTGTAGTTATCTCATATGGCCCTGTCTACAACAACTTAAGTCACGTAAACGAGCTAATTTTGGATAGTAACCCACACAGATCAAAGATCATGCCAGAAAATCCCTACATGACATTCAATTCTGAGTAATGAAGCCGAAAATCTAGTTACATGTACAGCTACAGCATTATTAAAAAGTGGAACTAGAAAATCTTAGCCCTAGTTAGTAAGACTTTCAACGCGAAAATTTTAATGCCTTAACAGCCTGTTTGGTGGATAATAATATACGACGTGATTGTGTCAATGTCCTAACTATTAGTGCTACATAAATTTCTAGTACCACTCAATACCAACTTTACGGCGGTAATTAAATTTAGTACTTGTATATGAAGA